CATCGGACAAATATTTATCCCTATCCCCCCCCCATCAGCAAAAAAAAAAAAAATATTTTTGCCAAAGCCCATGCACTTTCATTTCTAAGTTTCTCAGGCGTGAGAAGCAACAGGAGCCCCATCCAATCCAAGGCTTGGCTGGGCAACTTCATCGGGATAAATAACTATCGGGACATCAAAACGAAACTTAGTGAGATCCAATGTTGCTAGCAAAGCCTGTATTTCCGCCACCGATTGGTTAGATAACTGCTCCATTGATTTTCCCGACGCCTTTTCAAGAGCCTTACGAAGCTGATTTGCCAAAGCAACATCCATGAGACGATTAAGTGACCTGTACAGCTGAACCATCCTGGGTGCACCATAGCGACGTTCTGCACTATCTGGTGCGCGAAAGCGCTCTGGGCGATTTATATATTGTTCCCATTCTGCAATAATACTATCAAAAAAAGGTAATTTGCTATCTATAGTTCCCCCCTGAACCCAGCGTTTCATTCGCATACACCTTTCATCCCACTTGTGACGACGATCATAGTTAAACTCAGGGTGATACCAGGGAAGTTTACGTGTTTCAGGGATATCTGGGTCGTAGCTTGTGTAAAAATCTCCCCAAGTATTGGCCATTGGGTTTCGTGTCTTGTCATTTTTAATTGAGGAAAATATTAAACTGTTCATAACCGCATAGTTGGCATTATCTGAAATCCATCCGTTGAAAAGTTTCTCCTGCAATTTGCCAATAGGAACCTTAGCCCAATTGTACTCAAGTGGAGCAATGAGGTAACGTAACCGAAAATAAAACGCATCCGTCTTCCATAGACGTGGGTTAGGCATCTCACGCATAGCTTGTTTCAAATACTTTTCGTATTCTTCAAATTTAGTGGAGTAGAAGTCGTCGTCCTGCCTTGCCAAAGTACGTTCGGCATTGATACGATTTGATTCAGGATGAACTTCTCGAATCAGGTATTGAAAAAGTTGTTCCCTATTCTTCGTATAGAGGTCTTCCATCGAGGTTTCCATCATAGTTTCAATGTCCTTTACCAGTCTACGATACCCACGCCTGTTTTTACTTGCATAGTGTTTAGGTTGATTATAGCCGCTTTCAATCCAGCCTTGCATCTCGCGTCGGGCATTCTGACGATCGGGATCTACATTTTTGATATACCACCCTTCATAGTCAAGATTTTTCTCCCAGTAATTTGTACCATCCGCGTGGCCTTTTTCAAAATATCCTTTCGATGTCGTCCAAGACATAGGAATACGTCCAGCAATGAGTTCAAATTCCTTTTCACACTCTTTTCCTAACCAAGACCAATGCCCATCAAAAGGACCTTCGCGTCTTTGCTCTTCACCATTCCAAAAGCGTCGCTCCTCCTGCATCTTACCTTCTTCCCCTGTATAACCACGCACAAGCTCATCTTGGCTTTCCCACTCAAAAAATTTTGCCACAGTGGCACGACTACGTCGAAAAAGAATGACCTCTTGGTACTCCATCCAACCATTATGAAGTAAATGTCGAATTGCATCAGGATCCTTTGTATGTTGATTTTGCATGAAACGTTCGCGGACCTTATACTTCATATCGGGCAGCGGTGTAAGAAGCCAATAGTAGTGTTTCACCATGGGGAGACCTTTAAGGCAAGATCGATAAAGGGACATCATGGCTGCCTTTATCTCCCAATTCACAACAGTATTGGCTAATAAAGTGATGTTTCCCTCCCGCTTCCCAGTTACAGATGCGTACGAGAAATCAGGGTGATGGTCTTCAAATGGTGGTAGTGGAACTACATCACGATAATTCACAGATTCTTTATCGGCAGGTTCCCGGACATAGTTATGATACCGCATAGCGGCAGGACCACCCGTAAAATAGGGAGCTTGCTCAAATTTCCCAAGAGAAGTATCATATTCAGGTGCATTGATATTATCAGAACGATCCCGAGGTTCATTAGATCCCAATACTTGTTTACTGGGAAGTTTCTTTTGACTTCTTGGGTAGCGTTCCTCAAAATAACTAGGCGCAGGTTTTGAGCCGTACACCCCTGGACGATTGTCCTTTCCAGTGGCCCCTGGAATAGGTCCGGAATACTCTTGCTTCACAGTCTTCGCTCCTTGGCCTAGGTTTCCAACACCATCGCCCGGACTACTAGGAGGGAAACGAGATGTCCCATCGCTCCCAGATGAAACAGGCCTGTAAAAAGCAACCCCACTTCCCAAAAAGGATATGCGTCGAAACATTTTCTATCAACTAATGCAGGAAAGAATCCTACTAAACCGAAAAAAAAACAAGGCAGCAAAGAAGAAAAAGAAAACACAAAATTCATGCAGCATTGCAAAAAAAAAAAAGAACTCAAAACGCAACAATATGGAACCGAATCAGACAAAACAACAACAGCGAAATCGGCAAGTGAAACGAAACTAGGACGAAAAGAATAACAATGATAAATAAACACTCCCCCCAGACGACTAAGCCGACGCGCAGCGACACGAAAAAAAAAGGTGTGACCAGACCCGCGCGCCACCGCCAACGAAAAGAAGAAGAATAAAAAAAAGCAGACAGACGCCCGCCAACTCCCCCGAATGGCCGCGAGGCTTTGGCGGACGTCGCGCCCCCCGCGCGCCGTTTCAAAACAGCGCCGGCTCCTCGCCAGCGGAAAAGCGGGGCGCCCTGCCCCACCGGGAAAAGGTGGGGCCAAGTGGCCTTTTTTTTTCTTCTCATTATTCTTTGTTGCCTTGGGTTTCGTCACGGGCGATTGCTTGTGTGTTTTTTTTTTCAATTTCGTTTTTAGAAAAATGACATGGTCAGTGTTTTGCGGGGGACACACGCGGGGGAGATAGAGGCGGCCCGACGCCGTTGTTGGCAGCGCGTTATTATTGTTATTTTTGTTTCGTATATAATTGACCTTTTGTGTGCTTTTCTCCTGATGCATTTGGGGTGGTTGATTAGCTGCGGATGCTTGCGTTCGTATTAGCGAACTTCCCATGTTCATTGATACCCCGAGATCGCGGCCGGGTTTCCTGTATGGTGGTAATTGACTATAAATGTAGATGTTGTTCAGAACAACATCTTCTCCGATGTTATGGGAACGTTTCTAGATGCGACTCAAGGTCCCATGGTGGTGTTTTATTTATTTTCATTTCATTTATGGATAAGAATATTGTTGGAGAATGCTTTGAAGTATTTTTTTTTAATATACCTCAAGGAGAAATGAAAAAATCGTTTGTTTTCCTTTTTTGTTGTTACTATTATGTATTCTCGTTTTGTTTTTTACTTCGAAGCTTTTTGTTTTGCACTTTTTAAACTTTTTTTTTCCCCCTCAAACACTACATATTGGGGAGAATAAAGTTAATAGTAATAATATGAATAATAATAATTATTATTGTTTATTACTCCTCAAAAAAAACACACGCATATTTTTTTAGCAAATGCTCAAGTACTGTTATCACAGCGGGGCTCCAGTTTAGTTGAGAAACACATGTATTATCTTACTTTTCCCCCGTATTTACTTTATTTTTTTCCTTCGTTGGAATACACAAAAAAAAAATACAAGAAGGTAAAATAAAAAAAATCCACAAAGATTTTCACCTGATAGCATGCACAGTGTATCTTCGTTAGTCTCTGAAGAGGGAAATGGTTTTTATTCCCGCCGTTTTCCTGGAGACTCTCCGGTAAAATCATCAGTGGGAGACATGCCTTGCGATTCAGCGGCGCTTCAGTGGTGGTATTTTAATGCACACTTGCACGACGCCAAGAAAGAGAAGGACTTTTCACTTTTTGCATCTTTTTTTGTCAAAAAGACCGGTGCGTTTCTAAGAAAAAAGTCCGTTTTTCTTATTCGTGTGTATGGGCGTTGATTGATGTTGGTGAAGAGAAGTATTACTCTGACAGTTTACTTGACCACAAAACGCATGATATTGTTATCGCCCGACTAGAAACTGCTGCAGATGGAGGGAATCGCAGTTCTTATGCAGGGAATGTTGTACTGGAAATGGCAAAAAAAGGTCGGCTTCCTTTGCCTGACAGGACAATGAGCGAAGCTGCGGTTATCGGCGAAGATCGTCTTTACATAAATTACGATGATCAGTGTTTGCTTGAGGGTGAAGGAGAAGGTGCTGAAAGGAAGTATAAATTATATCTAAATAATCCCATGCGAAATATTACGGTTGAACTAGAGTTTTTTGCAAGAACAACGCCTGTTCTCCATGGGGAAAACGGCATTGTAAATGACATGTTTTATTACTATTATCCATCAATGAATGTGGAGGGAAAGATTACTTTTGCTGATTCCATCACCCATGTAAAAGGGGATGGGTGGTACGATCGGGAGTACGGAGGCTTAGAAAACGAAATAGGAAGAGATGCTCTTGATGCCTGGACTTGGCTTTCTTTGCGTATTTCAGATGGTTCACAATTGAGTTTGTTTGATATTTTTGACTCAGAAACGGGGAAACGAAAAGAACTACTTGGTGTCCTTACTTTTGATGGAACAAAGGAAGTTTGCCATGATATTATACTTGAAGAAGAAAATTGGTGGACAAGCTTAGTAACTTTTATTGAATATCCTTTAAAATTTCATATCGAGGTTCCAGCTTTTCAACTATCCCTTGATGTACATACTTCATTTAATCATCAAGAGGTTCCAACAATTCTAGTATCCGGTGGCTTTTACGAAGGACGTGTGACCGGTGGGGGGTGTCACAAGGGAGCACCAGTAAGTGTAATTGGTTTCTATGAGCGGAAAAACTTGAGTACTGGCGGTGACCCTTCGGTTACGCTAAAACATGTGGGAAAATATGTAAGGAAAACGTTGTCCAATTTTTATCCTTTAACCGCCTCGAATGAATGGGTTGAAAAAAATGTGCTTGGACGTTATTGCACTGGTAAAGGTGTTGTTGCCCAGCATGTTTGTGATACCTTATTTCTTCCAGTTCGTTCTATTATTGATCGAGGTGGAAAAGCTTGGCGCAGTTTGGTGCTTGTTTCAGCCTGTAATGCACTTTCACGTGATTACTTTGATTGCACAAAGTATATTGCGATTACAGAGCTTTTACACGTGGGTTCGCTTATTATTGATGATATTCAGGATGACTCGTGTGTGAGACGTGGGGGACAGACCGCCCACCTGGAGTACGGCGTTCCAACAGCCATTAATGCTGGAACAGCCTGCTATTTTATGGGTGTTTCTTTCGCAGAGATTCGATCGCTTCCGATGGAAAAGGCTAACCGAGTTTACGAATTATATTTTGATGTCATGAAAGCAGGCCACGCGGGTCAGGGACTGGACATTTACGGTCTACACTATTTAATGCCTGAGGCTGTTCGTACTGGTAAGTCGGAAGCGATTGAGGATGCTCTTAAAGCTATCCACACATACAAAACTGGGGCTGTCGCGGCTGCCACATGCCGCGTTGCCTGTATTTTATGTGATGCAACTGAGGAGGTCACCTCGGCGATGGAAGCATTTGGGTTGGGACTAGGTTTGGCATTTCAAATTGTTGACGATGCACTTAATGCCAAGGGATTTGAAGGAGATCTGAAGGAAGCAGGAGAGGATATTCGTGATGGGAAGATTACGTATCCGGTGGCAAAAGCAATGGGGAGGCTGGAACTTCCCCAACGAGAACGTATTTGGAACATATTACAGGAACGTACATCGGACGGAGAAAAAATTACTGAGGTTATAAAATTGCTTCATTCGGTAAATGCCATTGAAGATTGTCTTTCAGATGCCCAAAAGCTCGTCGATGAAAAATGGAGTCTTCTTGATCCGCTTATTCCGGATTCCATGCCAAAGGTGATGATGCGAACTTTCTGTTTGTTTCTCACAAGGCGGAGTTTTTAGGAACGTACTTAAAAACTGAAAAAAAAATATGTTAAAGTATGCATACTTATTTT